GTGATAAATACCCAAGTTCATGTCATCTGACTTGTTATAATTACCTGACTAGTCAAATTTTTCTTATTTTTTCAGAGGTGGTTTTATGTTAATTAGAGATGGAGATTCCGTGGATGCATTGGACTTCCGTGAAACTGCACCAGGAGATTCAACTCAAGATATGTACTCCAATAATAATACAGCAGCTGACATTGTAAGATTCTACAATCATATCATATTTGTTATAATTTATATTGCACATTTATATCGCACAAAATTATACAATGGAGTTTTGTATATGACATGCTCGCAACACATCAAATTATTAATTTTTTGGAAAATAAAGTACCATACCATCTCCAATGGATGCGCACATAAACAAAAAAATGCATTTCTTGTATGCTGGAGTATAAAAATATTTATTTTATATTAAGCTGGATTTAAAGACTTAAAACACTAATTGGGTTTACAGCAAAATTATGGTAGCCAAAATAAAAACCAAATAAAAATAAATCTTTGATTTTATTACAGGGTGGTTTGGCTGTAGCAGTGCCTGGTGAGCTCAAGGGAATGCAAATGGCATGGAAAAAATATGGAAGGTAATAATAATAATAATATTGTAATTTTATTTTAAGTTTTATATAAAATGAATTCCACTAAATTTGCAGATTTAAATCTGAGAGAATATTAACACTTTCACAGTAATCTGTGTATATTATTTCCTGTCTGGTGTACTGTCTGGTAATTGTCATGGCAACAATATGGCCTCCAGTCAGCCATATTTAATTGTCGAAAATTATTGTTTTAACAAGTGTTACAAATTCATTTGTGTTGAAGACCAAAAACACAGCAGTCGCTAAACTCATTATCTTGGAAACAGCTGTTACAATTCTCTAGCATTGTATGACTGAACACACAAGATTGGCTCAAATTGTAACAGTAAATTTATCCTTTGAATAAATTCAGGCATGATATACGCACATATACCAAAGAATTCTGAAATATATATATTGCTATAATTTCATGTATAATAAAGATTTAATAATAAAAATAATAAGCTTAAGCAGTCTTTAACTCTTTGAGCACCACAATTTTTCCTACCCAGAATTTGGTTGAACATTTTACTTTTTTGTGAGTAGTTTTCTACAACTTTATTTATCTTTTTGAACCAAATGAACATAATTTCCTGCTGGCTACAGGTCTCGATCAAAATTTTGGAAAAAATATGAAATATTTTGTGAATTATATTTTGTGAAGGATAAAAGTTGACAAAAAGGTTAAATTACAAAATGATTAATGCATTTCATATGTGAAAGCAGTATACATTTCAGAAAATTTAAAAGAACAAAGAATTGTTATTTGCTGAAAGAAAGGTTCTATCAAATAAAAGAAATCATAGCAATAATCTCTATTTTGGCAGCCATTTTGGATTCAAAAATGGTCAAAATTTAGACAGTCATAAAGTATAATTAAGAAAAGAAATTCTGTGCTCACCCTTAATTGAAAAATTTCAAAAAAATTATAATTTGACTTCAATTAATTTTTCTAGATGTATTTTTGCTACCAGCTCCTCACTGTTTATTTTCTTTTTTCAGACTTAGATGGTCAGAATTATTTCACCCAACAATTCAGCTCGCCAAAGAGGGTTTCAAAGTTACTGGACATACAGGTATACTTGTTTGATAGCCACCATTATAGTGATTTAAGTATTTGGATCACATGTTCGGGTCACATGTTTCAGTTGAATCATGTATTCCCAATATGGAATTTGGTGTGGGAGTTCTATTTATTTTAAAAGTGTGATACTGTAAAAGGGGTAATTATTCACTGGGTTTTAATTTAGCTTATTTCGCTGACTGGAAAAATGCGCTAAATTAAAACACAGTGAATATGTAAAATTTAGCATAGAACACATTATCTAAATGACGAAACAGTGAATTTAAAACCCACTGAATATGCCTGAAATGGTAAATCAGTGAAATTTAAACCCAGTGAAAATTAGTCATTTTACAGTAATCACTATTCTATATTGAAATTCAAATTCTTGCATTACATGTATATATAATCCTTAATTAATCCAGGAAAAAGGTTGATCACAAATTTTCACTATTGCAGCAACATTTCTAACTTTATTTGTGAGGCTTATTTTTATCTAGAGAAAGAACATACAGTGCCCCAGTGAAAATCATGATTACACAATTTCATGGTTATTCTTAACTAATTAAAGCATGTTATATTATTTTGACATTGCACACTTGCAATTATAACAGAGCTAAATTTAGTAATGCATTTCATAAACCTAAAATCAAAATTTTTTTACATTTATATCTTGTTTTAACAGTTGACAGTCTGAAATCTGAAACTGCTAAGTTCAGCTATTCTAAGAAACTGAGAGATTTGTACATGCCTGGTGGTGTACCAGTCAAAGAGGGAGATACTCTCAAAAGATTAGACTACGCTGAAGTCTTGGACACAATCGCCAAGGAAGGAATTGATGCATTTTACAATGGGAGTCTAACTAATGATATTGTCGCCACTGTAAGTACATGTGCAGTGATGTAGAAATCAAGCGGTAGCTGGTCAAAATTAATCCCTACTTTGAATAAATACTGACTAGTTTTTTTAACTCCAGTGGAGCTGTTCATATTCATATTACTGATTTCCTATCATCGTCAACTTTTTGCAAAATTATATATACTGATACTTTCAGGTAGTATATATGTACCTTGAGTTTGGGTGAACCTCCCCAGAATTTGTCCAATTTGTGATGATATCTTAATTCTCTAATTTTAGTAAGTGTTTTTTGACTCCCGTGTGGGAAGCACAAAAGGGAGTCTTTGCAGTTACCCTGTCTGTATGTCTGTATGTCTGTATGTCTGTATGTCTGTATGTATGTATGTATGTATGTCACTTTTTTTGTTCCACCGTTATCTCAAGAACCACTCATCAAATTTTGGTGAAACTTGGTACATAGATGCTCTGGGATAATGCGCAGAGTTGATTAGGTTTTGGTAAAAATCTATGAATATTAATTACCTAATTTGCATGATACTTCGCTGATTTTTAGCTGTTCCAAGACTGTTCCACTGATATCTAAAGAACCACTCATTGGATTTTGATGAAATGTGGCACATGGATGCTCTGAACTAGTGCGCAGATTTGATTAGTTTTGGGTAAAAATCTATGAATATTAATAACCTAATTTGCATAATAATTAACTGATTTTAAGCTGTTCTA